CTTATTTGAGCTATCAGTACTTAGATGAGCTGTTGACAAAAGTGAAAGGATTTTAAATTAGAACCACAATCTTCCAGAATGTAGTCAGGAAATACTGGAAACACTGGCACTTTAAATATTCACATGGAAAAGTCATAATGCAAATGAATTTTTACAATATGTGAAAAAATTATATAATGATATACAGGCTATGTCATTATACACTCTTAGGTTGAGAAAAAAGAAATCTAATGGTTCTCTCTTTCTCTCACAATACTCTTTACATTCCCCAAACATTTTGGTATCCATTCCTCACTTTGGATTTTCATTTGAGGAGAAAAGAAAGGTACGAAAATGTTTTGAAAAGCGGAGGCATTTAAATTGAGGAGAAAGAGTACCCCCCTTTATTTATCAACTCTCACCTCCCTACCCACCACTTCCAGCCTCTCCCAACTGCCACGACCTTCGCAGCGGGCTTCAGGATCTGAAGGAGGGGCCAGCGCACAAATGAAAATACTATACAAGAAATATGAATTTAGAAGACGTTAGAAGCCAGGTGAAGCCTCTTTCTTGGAGAGACACACGGACTTCTGGCCTGGTCAGCTCTTTATTTACTTGAATATACATTTGCCCTTTAGCAATGCATACAGGCATATCAAAGGTAAAGTTTGGTAAACAGTAAAAGGATTATCAGGTTAGGGAATTGCCTTGAGCTACCACTATCTCAACAGATGAGGTGCTTAGCGTCAGCCCTGCTAACACACAAGGTCCATCGGCCTTCCGCATTACTTGGTGCACTGACAGTATTGGCAAGCGGTGGCTTCCCGCACCTAACCATCACTGGAGAACTAGATTTGGACAACTTACACCCAAAAAGATCAAAGATCTCCATGAGCCTGCTTTGAATAACACAATGAGAATAGAATCAGAAACTAGATTTTTTTTTATGTATATATTTTATTGATTTTTTACAGAGAGGAAGGGAGAGGGATAGAGAGTTAGAAACATCCATGAGTGAGAAACATCGATCAGCTGCTCCCTGCACACTCCCTACTGGGGATGTGCCTGCAACCAAGGTACATGCCCTTGACTGGAATTGAACCTGGGACCTTTGAGTCTGCAGGCTGACGCTCTACCCACTGAGCTAAACCGGTTAGGGCCAGAAACTACATTTAAACTCAACTTTGAAGACAGAAACATCTGAAATATTTGAGATGAACTAGACCAGTGGTTGGCAAACTCATTAGTCAACAGAGCCAAATATCAACAGTACAACGATTGAAATTTCTTTTGAGAGCCAAATTTTTTAAACTTAAACTATATAGGTAGGTACATTGTTAGTAACTTAATTAGGGTACTCCTAAGGCTTAGGAAGAGCCACACTCAAGGGGCCAAAAAGCCGTATGTGGCTCGCAAGCCGCAGTTTGCCAACCACGGAACTAGACAATTTAAAATGACCCAAAATAACGTAACAGAATTGCCTCCTGCAGGGAAAAATCTTCATAAATCTGGGCCAGAAGTTTGCATCTGTTATTTAATGTTACCTTTGGTTACTTACTAGTTACCTGTCCTTGGGCGGATTAATTCACACTAAAAGGTGTTTGTTTGTTTTTTTTATTCATAGGATTCTGGAGACTTAAATATTCTATGCATATAGGTTTCTCTTCCTATTTTTTAAAAAATCCTCACCTGAGGATATGTTTTTATTGGAGAGAAAGAGAGAGAGAGAGAGAGAGAAAAGTATCACTGTGTGAGAGAATCATCAGTCTGTTGCCTCCTGCACATGTCCAAACTAGGGCCGGGGATCAAACCCACAATGTGAGTATGATGGGAATTTAATCCACAACCCTTTTGCCATACAGGACAATGTTCAACCAACTGAGCTACCAGGCCAAGGATAGTTTTGTTTTATTTTTATTCAAAATAGAATCAACTTTAAATTTAGAGAAAAAGTGCAAGTATGGTATAATTAACTTTTGCTATAAACCATTTGAGAATAAGTTATTGACATGATACTCCATTACCTATGAATACTTTTGTGCATATTTCCTACAATGACATTTTCTACATCATCATAATCAATATATTATACTATCTAATCTTCAGATCTCATTTAAATCTTGCCAGTTGTCTCAATATGTTCTTTATAGAAAAAGAGTCCAGTCCAGAATCAAATGTTGCATTTAATATTCATCTCTCTTTAGTCTTCTTCAATATGAAAGAGTTCCTTGGTCTTCACTTGACTTTCATGACCTTGACATTAATGAAGATTACAGATTATTTTATAAAATGTCCCATCATTTGTGTTTGTCTAATGTGTCCTTGCGACTCAATGTAGGTTCTGTGACTTTGTCAGAAATACCACAGAAATAATGCCACGTTCCTCACATTGTATCCTATAAGGTGGCACAGATTTTGATTAATCTCATTGTATTACTACAAATTGAGTGCATTACAACCACACAAATTTATCTTAAAATTCTGAAGATCAGAAGCCTGAAATGGGTTCACTAGGTTAAAATGAAGGCAGGGCTGCATTCCTTCTGCAGGCTGTAGGGGAGAATCCGTTAGCTTCTCTTTTTTTAGCTTCTAGAAGCTGCCTACCTTTCTCAACACATAGCCCCCTTTCATCTTCAAAGCCAGTGATCACATCAGTTTGAACTCTGCTTCTGTCACATCTCCTTCTCTGAATCCTTCTCCTGCCTCCCTTTTCCGCTTTTAAAAATATATATATTTTTACTGATTTCAGAGAGGAAGGGAGAGGGAGAGATAGAAACATCAATGATGAGAATCATTGATTGGCTGCCTCCTGCACGCTCCCTACTGGGGAGTCTGAAACCTGGGCATGTGCCCTGACTGGGAATACATCCGTGACCAGGTTCATAGGTTGATGCTCAACCACTGAGCCACACAGGCTGGGCCCTTTTCCACTTTTAAGAATCCTGTAATTACATTGGATCACCTGGTAATCCAGGATATTCTTCCCCATCTCAAGATCCTTAATCTAACTACATCTGTGAAGCCCCTTTTCCTAACATATTCATAGGTTTGGGAATTAGGATGTACATCTTGGGGGGGTGGGGGAGGGAGGCATTTTTCTACCTACCATACTAATTTCTGGTAATGTGCACTTTAGTCACTTGATGAAGGTGGTTCCTACCAGTTTTTCAATTTTAAAGTTTCTTTTTCTCTCACTAATAGCTAATATCTTTTATAGGGGAAATTCTTTGGGACTATGTAAATACCCTCTTTTTATCAATTCCTCCCTCCCCCCTCCCCCACTGCCTCCGGGTGAAGTCCAGTCCAGAGTCTTCCCCGGCTGCAGGGCCCTTTCTGGGGTCGTTCAGCCCCTCCCTCCGGCCCCAGCACAGCCTTCTTCCCAGGGTGGCCGTGTGCACCTCCTGGCCTGTTTCTTCCACTAGGGTGCCCTCCACCTTCCTCCCCACCTCCCAAGACAAAGCAGAAGTCTTGTCTCTCCCTTCTCTGATGGTTGAGCCAGAGGGAGCGGGGGTCAAGGTAGAAGGAGAGGGAGGCGGAGGGGAGATCCCTCCCTCCCTTCCTTCCTTTCTTGACTTATGGATCTTCATGGATTACAAAATACATTACAAAATTTTTGTTTATAAAGTAAGTAAAAACGCAAACAAACAAACTTCATATTCCAGGCTCATCTTTTAATTTGTCTGACTCCACCCCTTGAATTGGTCATTTCCCCAAGACGCTCTGGTTCCCTTTTAGTGAAGAGCAGTATTTAAAAATCAAGAATTGGGCACTAGGTGTGCTTATTACTATTGGAATGTTGCTGTTCCCAGGCCTCTCAGTGGACAGAAGTTTATACACGTCTTCACAAAGAGATTTGTACAAGAATAGTTATGCAGCTTCATTCACAAAAGCTTAAAGCTGGAAATAGCACAGGAGAGTGCGTGAACACTGGTATGTTCATACGTTGGAATACTGCTTAGCAAAAATTAAAAAAAAAATAGAAGAAAGAACAAGTAATATATGCTGCCACATGGATAAATCTCAAAGTCATTGACATAAAAGAACCCATACAGAGACAAGAACATTCTGAATGAGTCCATTTATATGAATTTTAAGAACACGTAAAACTAAACTATGGCAATCAATCAGGACAGTTGGCTGCCTATAAGGATTGAAAATGAGTGCAAGGAGACAAAGTAATTTGCTACCATTATAGAAATATTTTATCTCTTAATTGGGGTTAGTTATACAATACACCCTTTGAATTGTACATGTAAGATTTGTACATTTCACTGTGTTAGTTTTAACTCAATTAAAAAAACCCCAAAACTCAGCAGAGAAGCTTTTAAGCCTCATCTTGCCTTTTCTTCCGGGCACCTCTTATGAAACTCTGAGTATGGATTCCATGAGCAAAGGATGGCAGAATAAAGAGATAAGAGTGTAAGTCCCTCAATACGTTGCAGGACCACATATCATTCCTGAAACTGTATACCTCTAGAATTGTGTGTGTGTGTGAGTGTGGGTGTGTGTGAAGGCTTGAACCTGTCCAAACACTGTAGCCGTGCCCCACATTTAGAGAGAAAGAAAGAGAGAGAGAGAAAGAGAGAGAGAGAAAGAGAGAGAGAGAGAGAGAGAGAGAGAGAGAGAGAGAAGAGAGAGAGAGAGAGAAGACAAGAAAAAGAGGTTGAATCCTAGTTATTATAGTTGAGCCTCATTTCCAGTAGCCCAAGCCATTTCCCAACTGATACACTTACCCTGATCTCATATACTTTCATCTTGTTTGGTTAGGAGTACAGTATTTCTAAACCCAAATGTTTAGAAAAATTCTCAGTCCTGAAGGAGAATTAAGTAGCTATTTCACATGACCGTAATTGCCTGTTCTTAAAGCATATTCCATAAAATATTAATGTTATGAAATAACTATCTTTAAATAAACTAGATTAGCCTTTTATGTATGACTAATTATAAATCATTGAGAACTATAAATTCTGACTAGATATATACATTTTACTCATTTCTCAACTATTTCTTGGCCACTGAAGGTTTTTTTCCAGTGGTGTATCAGGCTGAATCTGAATATGATTTTGGAGACATCACTGGAGGTCAAGTGTGAAACTTGGAATGAAATCTTAACTGCAAACAACCTTCCTGTTGGGATTTGCCATCTCCCATACCCACCTCTCCACACATCAGTGAGGTATGTAACTTGCTTCAGTTTGCTGTCATGAGCCAGTCATGTGTTCCCTATTTTGGCAGAACTATGGAAAAGCTCCCTAAGAGAGAGTATTTGGGTTATTGGAGTCCTTTTAATGCAGTGGCCTCACATCTCCTATCCTGCCAGTTTTGCCCTTCCCTTTCAGTCCCTTTATTCTTGACAATCTGGGCCTCTGAGGTTCCTCGCATGTCCAGGGCCTCTGTAAATACCGTGCATGTGCACGTCAGACTCCAACAGGCATCATTCATTTACACAGTGACATGAAAAGTGCCTTTTCACGGAATGTCCAGTGGGTCAGCCCCAGTCCTACTCTGGCTCTTGGTTCTTGCCTACACCCGTTTCCCAACAGACTCCATGTTCTAGGTTTCACTGTTCATGAATTGTGACTTCTTTCACATTTCTACTTTCTGACTCTTCTTGATTTTCTTATCCTTACTTTCATCTTATGTATGTTTTTGAGCTTCTGATATATTGTCCTGGGAACTGACTATGGCTAAAATAAACTGTTATCCCATATCCAAATAGTAACCCTTTCCAATGTTCTCCCTTGCCTTACAAAATGCTCTTCTGCTTAATAGTCTTTTGCCCACAGGATACTTTGGAGACAGGTGAGGGAAGGCTAAAGAAGGATGAATGTTTGAAATTCAAGATCACCATGTTGTAAATCTTTGGGGGTGAAGGTAAGCTCCCTTTTTTTCTCAGTACTTTAGATTGCCTGTTGAGGTTTAACATTTTTAAAGGATTATAGGACAAAATAGTGAAATTGTCTCTAAAGAGAAAGAATGGTTGCCCAGCAGGTAACATTGAACTATAACCTGGCTGAATAAATTTAGTAGCTGATGAAAGGTCAGGTCAGATGGTGTGGAGGCTTGGCTGGCCCTGAAACTTCAGAAAAAGAAAGACCACAAAGATCCACTGTGCCTAGGGATAGGAGGCCTTGGCCTAGAGAGAGCGTATAACTGACATCAATCATTCTAAGGTTATAAGCCCCCAAAACCTTTTGATTATAAGATAACTTCTGACGCAGTGTTCTTATGGGTAAAGAATGTGTGGGCCATAACAATGAGTGGCAGTAAACATTTTCTTTTGCAAATTAATATACTTGAATTTGACTGTATATATCAATCTTTGTGAGCTGGATTAGTGGGATGCTACATAGTGTTTTGGCAAATCAGGTTTATGAGTTTTCAAGACTGACAGCTGTGAGGAATCTACCATGATAAACTACTCTGCTGGCAGCTGAATGAGTAGCTAGCTGCTAGTCCCTCTTCCCTAGTCATTTTTCTGCCAACCACTGACAAGCATGTGCTCACATTTTCTACAAATTTCTAGTCTATGTAACACAGATTAATCTAATGTGTCAGTATTTAATGGCATACCGGTGTCCCTGCACATTCACACTCCCTTTCCTGCTTCCATTTTGGCGTGAAGGTATCTGTGGGAAACAGAGGGATATTATGACCACACAGGAAATTAGATAAAAGAAAGGATTTCCTAACAGGTGTGTTTTGAAAGTTTTGTTTCTTTTTAATTTTTATTTTAATGTAATATGATTAATGAATTTATTTATTTTAGTTGCTATTCAGGTTTGAGGCTTAGGTTTCTCTCACAAAGTCAGGTGAGAATGTCGGAAATTGATGTGTTTATTTACTTAACTTGGGTAATATCCCATGAGTTTTGTTGAATTCCTGATTCCATATGGTTAGGAAAAACCTAGACAATTTCCTTTTATTCAGCCTTTCTCCATGGAAACATCTGAATCAACATGTACAACTGTTTGAATCACTGTGATGTAGATTACCACCCAATCTCTTCAGTGCCATACTCTGTATTGTCTGTAGATGGCCAAAATAATTAGCTTGGCTGTTATGCCATAGTATTCAGTGATATGTTATGACTGGAAGCTTCCCAGGAAGTACAGTATGTAAATCCTGAGGCTAAATCCTAAAACCTATATTATGCAAGGCAGACTGGAGAAATGGAAAGTCTTTGATGACATAGATTCCTTTATTGTTAAAGCCAGTTTCTCGCGTAAATTGATTGTTAATGGATTCAACAATTTGTTTTGTAGAATGTATATAATACAGCTTTAACTGATTTCATCTGTATATAAATGTTGGCATGGGAAGGGGCCACACAAAAGAATTGGTGTTCCTTGGGCCTCAGTAGTAGTTCTGCTCTCATCTCTCCCTGACTTCTACCTCTTTGTCCCACTTAGAATTTTGAAGGACTTCCTGAGGGTCCTTACAACTAATTTATTCTTATATGAGTTCTACTATACTTCCTTCATAGGGAACCAAGGCAAAAATTTGGTCAATAAAATGTTTGTTGAATAATGATTATTTATTTTTAAATAGATCTTAGATTTTCTTTTTAATTATAGGAAGAAATGACTTCTTGTAATCATTTCTTAAGTATCCATACTTGGAAATCTGTCATCCCTAGATTCTGACTATATCAACAGAGACCATGAAAAATAATTTCTGCTGAGCAGCATGGCAATCATTAACAGTCTGGCTTATCTCCATTTTTTGGTCCACACTCTCATAGTCTCCCTCATTCTATTTCCCGTATGTTCATGTTTTCCCAGAATAGCTATGAAATCATGTAATTAGCTTCCAATCAGCATTGCTGACACAGCCATTGGCATTAAGTACAGAAAATTGATTAACTTATTTTAAAGAAAACATTCCAAAAGACTTAGGCCTATTTCCTAATGCCAGGAAGAGTCTGATCTATTAATACTATGCTTCTGTCATTACAACACAAAATGGCTACTGAAAACTGTCCCCACTGCCCCTAAGAATGCCTGGTTCCAGATGCAGTAAATACCCAGCTGGGTCAGATTTCTGCACATGAACCATGGTTTGCCTGTCATGAGGCCAAAGGAGCTGGATCCAGAGGGGTCAAAAGCCTATAAAATAACATGCTGAAAGGGGAAAGGTAATCAATGGTCAGGTAGGTGGTATATGGGGGTTAACAGTGGGTTGCCATTCAAGAAGTTTTAAAATAAGGGAAATTGGGTTTTCTGTTGAGATTTAATCTATAAAAATCAACATATAATGGATGAATTAGACATAAAATACTATACAGGGAGACAGGATGAGTCACAATTAAAGATGACATGCTGGTGATCTAATTGGTGATGTATATGTGTATATTTGTGACTATGTGCATATATAAAGTGAGTCAATCCAATTTTTTCATCTGAACAGTGCAAATAATAGTACCTATTTCACAGTTGTGAGGGTTAAAATGGAATGAAGCTTATAAAGCATTTAGTACAGTGCCATCTATAATAATAAAAGCATAATATGCAAATAGACCGAATGGACGTCTGGATGTCCTTCTGGACGACCTTCTGGATGAAGCCGGGGCTGCAGCTGCGGGTTCGAGGCAGCTGCCACAACTGCGAAGGCCTACTCTTGCACGAATTTCATGCATCGGGCCTCTAGTTGCATAATAAAAGCTTAGAGGAGGCTGAGAAGGAAAGAGCAGGCCCAAGAGCACACAAGCAACCGGATTGACCTCTTTTCTGCACTGAGGTCTTCCCAAGAACCACTCTAAGTGCTTTATATGTTTTAACTCCCTTAATCCTCATAACGGGTCTTTTAAGTACTTTCAAGTACTTATATTATCTCCATTTCACAGATTAAGAAACTGGCACCAAGAAGTTACTAAGCATAATTTCACTACCTTTGCAGAGTTGGTAAATGGACAAGTGCTGGAGCCAGGCTGGACTTTAGCCCATGTGTGCTGTCAGCTCTATGGAGTGAGTGTACCAGTGCTCAGTTGGAGGTTTTGGTGGTTTTACTCGCTTCCTACTTTTGCCCAGAGGCTTTCTCTCCCCCCACCCCCCAATATATTTTTATTAATTTCAGAGAGAGAAAGGGAGAGAGAGAGAGAGAGATAGAAACATCAACGATGAGAGAGAATCATTGATTGGCTGCCTCCTGCACGCCCCACACTGAGGATCAAGCCCGCAACCCTGGAAGGTGCCCTAACCTGGAATAAAACCATGACCTTCTGGTTCATAGGTCAACACTCAACCACTGAGCCATGCCAGCTGGGCTCCCAGAGGCTTTCTTATTCACCATTAGTCATCTCAGGGTTTTTAGTTTGTGAAACTGCTGATGTAGTAAAATAAATTTGTATAATTATAGATTTACAGAAGATCTCTACATTCTTTAATCTTTCCACTTGCTTCCACATCTGATGATTGCAGTTTCTCTTAAGACCTATTTATTAAAAAATGTGGTGCCCTGACCAGTGTGCTCAGGGATTAGAGCAGCCGTGGGCAAACTACGGCCCGCGGGCCGGATCTGGCCTGTTTGAAATGAATAAAACGATTGGAAAAAAAAGACCGTACCCTTTTATGTAATGACTATTGAAAAAAAAAGACCGTACCCTTTTATGTAATGATGTTTACTTTGAATTTATATTAGTTCACACAAACACTCCATCCATGCTTTTGTTCCGTCCCTCCGGTCCAGTTTAAGAACCCATTGTGGCCCTTGAGTCAAAAAGTTTGCCCACCCCTGGGTTAGAGCCTCGGCCCACAAACCGAAGGGTCGTGGGTTGGTCACACAACGTGCAGGAGGCAACCAGTTGATGTGTTTCTCTCACATAGATGTTTCTCTCTCTCTCCTTCCCTCCCTCCCTCCCTCCCTCCTACTCTCTGTAAAAATCAATGGGAAAAAATATCCGTGGGTGAGGATTAACAACAAAAAGCGCTACTTAGATTTTGTTGGTTCTTTGTATGCCTAGTAATTTTAGATTTTATCTTAAACATTTTGAATATTATGAGCCTCTGGGTCCTATGAAAATCCTCTGGAGATGGTCGATTTTGTCGTTGCAGTTTTAATAGGAAGTCAGCCTGGTTAGATTCAGATTACGAATTCTGTCTTCTATGGGCAGTGGTTCCGGTTTTTAAAGTCTTTACAGATATTGCGTACCACTGGGTGCCAGAGTGGTACCTGGTGGGAGTCTATACTGTAGTACAGCTCCAAAGCCTTCACTGTGCAGTGTTGGGTCTCTTTTGTGCATGCATGTCTCAGGGGTGCCTAAGACTTTGAGTTCCTACAGAGATACATGGATTGAAAGATTCTCCTTCAGCCTAGAAGTTTGGCTCAGTGGATAGAGTGTTGGCCTGCAGACTGTAGGGTTCTGAGTTCAATTCTGGTCAAGGGCACATGTCCAGGTTGCTGGCTCAATCCCCAGTCGGGAGCTTGTAGGAGGCAGCTGATAAATGATTCTCTCTCATCATTGATATTTCTATCTCCCTCTCCCTTCCTCTCTGAAATCAATAAAAATATATTTAAAAAAAAATTCTTCTTCAGCTTTCTCCCCTGTAATTTCCTTAGTCCCAAGAATCCCTTCCAGTCCCAACTAGAACGCTGCAGTTTCTCTTAGAGTTTTAGCCTCCCTATACTGTTGTGCACTTCCCATAACTGGGGCATAGGGGCAAGAGGAAACAGAAAAAAATATCCTGGATTTCCCCCATGCTTTTGGGGGTGGGAAGCAGGCCCTTGCTTGCATTTTTTGGCTGGAGATAAGGCTTTTTTTTCTCAGGGTTTTAGGAATCTGTGCGACCAGAATCGTTACTGCCCTCACATTGAGGGTTGCTTTGAGGAAGCCTGGGATACAGAAAAAACAACACACAGCACAATGGAGA